ACATATTTATTTTTCATTCGGAAGTACATAGTTCAGTTTACATCACTTTTTCATATGTATTGTACGGATTACCACTATTACCACTTATTTCCTAATCTAAAAACTATTTCTAACTGCAGGAAGGTGTAAGAAGCTACATTCTTCGCCTACTGTTCACAATCGTTGGAGAATATGTTTAGGAAGGCGCTGAAATGTTTTTTTCTTCGTGTTGGAGAATAGTCTGTTGAGGCGAGGTTGTAATGGCTGACGTGTGGTATAGAGTTAATATTTGAATAAAAGTTATTGGAGAGATGGGCCATGTGTTTAATGATGGATTTTATATTCAATTGTTTTTGTAATTGTTTGTCGGATGTAAACCATGGTGCGGAACTAAACGGAGATATCTATTTTTTTATTATTTGCAGTTTATTTATGGTTGTGGCTGATGCGTTAGTTCATACAGGGCATGCGTATAACTAATGGTCTAATTATTGATTTATATAATGTTGTAGCATTGACTATCGATAGGCAGCTTTTTGAGTTTATTAGAGGTTTTAATTGCACTATTTTGCATTTTACTTGTTGAGTTTTGATTGTAATATGGGAGTTCCAGTTCAGTTTTGTATCTAAGTTTCGCCCAAAGTATTTGACTGTTTGACAGTGAGGAGCCCATGGAATTGTGTTGTTGTTGATTGTAAAGGTGGAGGGAGTGGAGAAGTGCTTTAGCGAGAATACTTTGGCAGTGGAGTTTATTGGGTATAGTTTAATTTTCCACATTGTTGACCAGTTGTCTATTCTGTCTAGATGTATTTTTCACTAATGGTTTTAATTGATTGGCTGGATTTGTAAATTACTGCGCCGCCTGCAAATTGTGCTATGTGAGTCTAGTTTGTAGTCGGAATTTCTGACGAGTAAATATTAAATAGAGTTGGTGAAAGTGGGGAGCCTTGTGGTAGGCCAGCTTGTATTTTACGAGGGTTTAAATAGTGATTTTCGACTGTCACTGTGAATGTTCTATCAGTTAAAAAATGTTTTATGATGTTGATCAGGAAGAGTGGTGTTCCAAATGATTGCAATTGGATTTTAAGCCTTGGTTCCAAACTCTGTCAAAGGCTTGTGATATGTCCAGGAAAGTTGCTATTGTGTGCTTTTTCTCTTGGTATGCTGAATGAATATGTGTGAAGTGGAAACTTGATTAATAAAGCCAACTGATGATTGGGTATGTTTTGTGTTTTGTTTAAATAATTATTTAATATTTTAGAGTTAATTTCTCTAGAATTATTGACAGAGTTTGCAACAAACTCATTGGTCTGTAACTTTCTGGGATACTGTGATTTTTAGTTGGCTTTGGAACAGGAATTTTTCAGGAGTTTTTCCAAAGTATTGGATAATAACCAATTCTTAATATTGAGTTATAAATATTATTTATGAAGGCTATTGTTGGTGTGGGTAGGTTTTTTAGAATTTTATTATTGATATTATCATGTCCAGGGGCTTTTTTTGAGAGATTTTTTATTATATTCTTAATTTCGTTTGGTGATAGGAATTCTATTTTTTGCGGTACATTGTAGTTCGGAACGGAGACCGAGTTTGCAATTTGTATATGTTCTGTGTGGGCTGGAGTGTTATTAAGCGTAAAAGTACTTTCAAAGAAGTCAACTAATGCTTCGTCTTTGTCAATAGGGGAATTTTTTCCTCAGTTGGCGTGCTTATCGGAAGGATGGTGCCCTACTTTCTTAAAATTGTTTTTGTAAACTGCCAAAGTGAGTTGTTGGTTGTGCTTAGGGATTTTATTAAAGAGTTGTAGGACGAGTGTCGGTGTTCTTTACTTGCTTTTTTGGTTATCGTGTTTAGAATGTTAAGCTTTTTTTAAATGGGGATTTCTATTGCTGTTCCAAAGTCTTCTTGTTCTGTTTCTGGTTTTAATTATGGTTATTATGGTGTCTGGCAATTTAGTATATGTTTTTTGTTTTATTGTGTGCTATGTTATTTTCTTGCTGAACGATAGCAATGGTTATTTCTATTTCTAAAAGCGTTTTTAGATTCCTGAATTTGGGGGTTCTGATTATTATTACAGGGAAGTGATCAGAGTCAAATTCGTGTAGCACAGTGGAGTAAAATGTAGTCTGGTCGTTGGTGATTGCAATGTTTAATATGTCTGGACGTTTCTTTGAGTCGTATGAGTAGAAGGTTGGTTCTGTAGGAGTTAATATGTATAATTTAGAGTTCCTAATTATTGTTTGTAAATTTTTGCCTGCGCTGTTTGTTGATCTGCATCACCAGCTGGTGTTTTTGGAGTTCAAATCTCCTAAGAGTAAGGTAGGGGTGATTTGATTAAATAGCCTCGTGAGGTTAGTGTCTTGAATTTTTTTATTTGGTGACTTGTATGCTGTTATAATGGTAAATACTATGTTGTTAAGAGGTAAATTTAAAGCAACTGTTTCTAATCCCGGAGTGTTTGGTAGGCTTGCTTTGGCGTGGGGCACTGATTTTTCAACAAGAAATAAGGACACTCCCATTAGCATGTATTCGGTCTGTTCTAATTACATTGTAACCGAGCATATTGAATGTCGTGTGGGTTTTCTACTCTTAATGCTTGAGCCGAAACTATGGAAAGAGTTGGGAGACAAGCCCAAGTTCAATTCCAAACATCTTACTGGAGTCTCGAAATTGTCTCACTGACAGCAACGTAGTGAAGTACTAGATGCTCAGTGCTGACTGTCGCTCGAAAGTTCCATCGGAGGGTCAGGGAAGGGAACGATCATTTATATATATATATATATATATATATATATATATATATATATATATATATATACTTTCTTACAGTAGGGATGCGATATCAATATCGATGATTAAAACATCGATATATTAACAACGGTGTTTTTTTAACATCGAAGTTTTGTGATCGATGATTTTTCTTTCCCGATGTTTTGTCTCTGAATGAAAAATGTCCTTGATCACATTACTGTAAAAGTGAAAATATGAAATACCACGGATGGTAATATTGTCAATGTGTTGGAAGCAACGGCGCGTTGTTTGATTCGTTGCATTGTTTGCACGTTCATTGACCAAAGTGTCTCCCCGAGATGACCCCCATGCCCTTGTACTTCGTCTTCCTTTCTATTCATTTCCCATATTGAAATGTGGTCACCAATTTAGCTGTGGGCTGTACGGATTGCCCCTTCTTCTCGTACCCGTATTCGATGAACTGATAAACACGAACACTGTCAAATTTAATTTTGTTACTTACGAATGTTATGTTAGAGGTTACTAAATCAGCTTGAAAACATCGATGGTTTTTAGTCGATGTATTATTAACATCGATGTTTTAATTTTCAACATCGGTGTTTGCTAACGTTGATGTTTTGTTATCGAGGTCGCATCTCTACCTGACAATAGAAAACTCACAGAGCATAATGTTCGCTTGTTAATGATGCGAGGTGTTCGGACGAGGTCGTATATGTCCAAAACATATGTCACGCAAAGAAAATTGTCATAAATACTTATCACAAAACAGCATGGAAAGCACACAGGATATTTTTGCTTCTTTCAGGAAATATGCTTCTTTAAAAGTGATTAGATCTCTTTACCTGAAGACACTATTAGACAATTTCTAGAAATAATGGCTCTGCCTCAACCAAAGATATTTCCTTCTGTCTCTTGTTCCTTTGAAATCTTGAACTCATATTACGTTCGCAAATAATCTTTACAATTTTACCAGTTACAGTTTGTGCAGATATTACGTCAGCCAATCTCGTTGGGCCGCCCTGCTCGCGCCCGCACGGGCAGTCGTATCACGCAGACATGGCCACACAAGTCACAGCTGTGGCAGGCAACGAGATAATTTGAGAGCGGAAACGTCACTGATAGCTCGATGAGTGAACGACAAGAGAAGGAATAATAATTTTTATTACAAACTGTTTTAATTGATGCATACCGCATTTTAATTATAATACAAACATACACGAGGATTAACACATAGTTAATAAATGTGCTCATTAAATTGAATAGAATTGAAGGAGAATTGTTAATGATATTTGGTCACAATATATTTAATAGTAGTTAAATGTTTTGTTTATGACATACTACTTTCATTACGAGTTCATTTATATTTGGAATAACAATTTGAGACGTGAGAAGGAGAGAACACTTCAAACCGTAATCATAGACCACTTCTTTGGTTTGATTTTTTCTTCTCAAAGAAGAAAAAATGTATTCTTAACCATAAGTAGACACCTATATAATTTGCAAAATATTTTAACAAACATGAAAACGAAAGTCTCCAAAGGAAGTTTCAATAAACTCTTAATAGTGTGGCACAATAGAATCGATCTTTTAGTAATTAGATATGGGCTCAAATTACTCTAATTGTAAATCTGTAAATACTATATCAATATCTACTGAATGAGGAGTAGTAAATTCACAAACTTCCAACGTAAGCACCGTCTAACCTTGAAAACGAGAATTCCCTTCTAATTTTCATCGCATTAGTTTTAAAGTGCCAAGCATTCATTCAGACATATTAATTTACTTGCATATTATATTAAGTTACATTTCTTTCGGATTAAATGCAACTTTGACCTCTTCCCCTTCCGCAGAGTAGCCTCGGTTTTCTCGTGCCCGATATCAGAGTCTGCCAGCCGCTTTCTCTCGAGCAAATCTGTTGCCCTTGGCCGTCCCAGTCGTTCGTGCTCTCCATGCATTAGATAAAACTCTCGATTCACGCTCCTTTTCAAAATGCTAATTGAAAAACATTTGTCACAAAATAATGCAATTTTCATATTACCGAAGATGGAAGCGAAACAAAGGAATTCGAAATGAACAGAGGGGAACGAAACATACTTCTTAATATACGAGAGTGATCACAGACACGGAATAACAGTAAAAGAGAAATATTTTCGAGTGAAAAATGAAACCTTACGAATGGTAAAGAATTCTAAATTGAATAAGAATGAAAAATGTACGTACTAGAAAGTTAAATGTAAACGTAAGTAGTAACATCACTTTCTTGTGCTCAGTGCCCTCACCAGACGGTGCGCCGCGAACAGGGTCGCGGGACGGAGAGTACTGCAACCGTCTGGAGCAATGCTGCGACGCCAATTGCTGGCCCTCCATTATCGTGTAAGTGCTCGTATTCAAAGAGGTTACAAGAGTAACTCGGGCCCTGATGACAATGGTTCCCATCCTTTTTATTTACACACTTATACTCCAATTCAACACAATGGCACTTCAAGATCACGAGCTAGAAAGAGAAGGGAGAATTGCCATCCAATATCCAATACCAAAAATTGAAGTCGTAATGAAGCTGGCGATTGGATGACAATGTTCTCCCCTTTCTGTCCAGATTGTGACTTTGAAGTGCCACCATGTTTAAGTCTGAATATTTTTCTGAAGTTTTATTCATTATTACGAGTACAATAATAAAGTAATCCTAAATAAATGATTTACAGCTCTGTAATAAACCAAATTATTTTAAAATCAGTTTAAATGACATAATTTCTAAATTAATGATTATGCTATGTATCGTAGATTTTGGTTATTTCTTTCCTAACCAGAGCAAAAATCTCGACAATTATAACGAACAAATAATAACGAAATATCTACTATGCGCGCAAGTTTTCTTGATAGCGGGTGGGGGTGGGAGGGGGGGGAATGAGGGCTCTGGCATTGTAAATTGGTAGGTACCGTTTCGAGTCGAACTTAAGTATCTCAACATGCCATGCTATTCAGAGTTGGGTGAGGATTAGGAAGCTCGTATAACAAGAAAACTTGCGCGAGTAGTACTCAATAAAAAAACTAACATACTACGTTGTTTACAGACATGTCGAAACGTGAACCCTCGTATTATTAGAACCCTTGTGTTCTTATTAGGAAGAAGATTATTGTAGTCATTTGTAGGCCATGGATTATTAGAACATTCAAATAATAATAATACTTATTAGGAAATGTCAATTGTGAGCCATAGATTATGAGAATACTTGAATTTTATTAATATTTATTAAGAAACTTATTATAGACGTTTATAGTGTGCCATGGATTATACAACACTTCAATTCTAATATTTATTCTTTGAACAAATTAAATGATAATACATATTACTAGTAAAATGTGGCGTCGTCGGCGCTGTAGTCTGTATAAAATAATTTCATATGTTGAAAATTTCTTTAATGCCCAGCTTTGCTCAAATATGTTCTTTCAGTATCAGGTATTGGACTTACCAATGAATTGTAGTAGCTGATAATGTTATACTCCCGTTCAACACCGAATGGTATTGTGTGTTACCTCCATGCGAGATATGAACTGATCTTATTGTAATTTCAAAATTGTAATTACCGTAATAAATTCTTACAGGCTGTGATACTAATAGTTGAATTTTAGTACAGCTACATTTTAAAGCTTTTTTGCTAATTTTCACGAAAATACACGTAGCACGTTTACATTAGCACAAATGCTAAATGCAAATGCAGATCATTTCCAATTAGTTCCGAAAATTCTGACGTAACATATTTTACAACTACTTTTGATTCTGTCCTGGATTTCCTTAACACTTCTATAGTTTTCTCCCCGAATTTTTGAAGAGATTGGAACTTCACAAACTTATTTGTGTTTACTTCTACTTTTGCAATTTACCAATCAATTGTTTTGTATGGTAATCTAGCGTTGCATGCAAATCTAACATTAAATGGCGACTTGTTTTGTATGTTTCTGTAAATAAGGTGTTAGACAAGTTTAATAAACATCAGTTGTAGGTCGCATTCATTTGAAAATTGGTATTTGCACACTTACGTAAGAACGTAAAAGTGAGAAGTGGAATATGTGTTCATTCATTTTCTAGCATTACTCAGTTTTGTTTTCTTCGTATTCACTTGAAATTCTTCAAGTTTAATAAGTTCCGAGACAATACTGTCCATAGTATTTTGCAAATTTATTTTTAAATATACGTTAATTGGAATCTAAATTTAAATCAATCTGCAGCGCGATTTACTTGGTACTTCATTTGTTAACTTAAAAACAGCAAATGTCGTGAAAGAAAATTAAGACGTATTTTGCTAACAATGTTTTGGGGTACGAGTGTTTAATCAATATTTTTAGACATGTTATTTTTATTTTATTATTTATTTATATTTTTATTTATATTTATTTACATAGATTGATTTTGGAGGCGTTGTTTTAATTCCTGGTATTACCACTGAGATCGTAGCTCCAAAACACGAAAAAACTCGTTTTCGGATATTTATATCAATCTTTTGGCCGGACCCGAAAACAAATTACCAGTTCCCCATCAGGAGACCGTGACGCGTCGAATGACACCTCATACATCTCGATTAGTGCATGGGAAGTGGTCTAGCCGCCAGTGACGGAATCTCACACAACCGCACACACAAGAGTTTTACTCGAATACTGTATACTGATGAAACTGATAAAAGTTGTCAATCTTGGGCCATGGGTTAATATATCTCATGTGTTCTAATTTGTCTTATTACAAAATTGGTATCAGCCTCGTGATGTTCAACTTTAGTGAATCGAAGTGGATACAAATACAACAGAAGAACCAATTATGATGTAAACACCGCCCCAAATCCTGTTTTATTATTAATCTCACACGGGAAGTAACTCATTTCCATTCAAAACGATTTATGAGTAGAAATATCTATTAACAATAGCATGCCAAGCATTGCAACAATAGCCATCATAGAGAACGCAAATTCAACTTGTTTTACACAATTATTAATAGTGTATTTCAATTTTCAAAGCTTAAGGAATACTCTGTTTTATTTTTATTTTTTGTGTTTTAGTACCTGCTTCTTGGTGGTTTTCTTTGTATTGATTGTGCTCATCTGCATCTGTAAATACTGCATAAAAGCCCGTAAGTATACAACATACTTATTTCTCATCCGTGCGATGAGTTATTTTCATATTCACTATACACCACTGGAAAAATGTCAAGAGTATTTTTTGCATTAAAACTCGATGTGTCGTTAAGATATTTCTTCGTAAATTCCATTACAACAAAAACATGAAAGCAAATAAAGTTTTAATGCAAATAAATTGTTAAAGCCTGGGAATAAATTACGAGTTTACGTGGGAAAATGTTTGATGAATTTTGTACATCTACTTCAATTTCAGCAAAGTTGACCATTATTTTAACGAATTAGATAATAATGTGTATTATGCTGGACACTCAGCAGCGGTAAAGCTAGTGTGACCAAACACAAAACAAATGTGACAAATGACATTCACGACACGAACAATTCTGCAGCCTCCCAAATATATTTTAGTGTTTCTTGATTTAGATTTAATAGGTCTTGCCTTCTATTACAAGTTCACTGAATTTCATGAGGGATTGCCTTCAAACGTGGTGAGAATGAAACAATGAGATGATTATGAAGTGAATGATGACGGAGGAATTGTGGAATGACAGGCAGGGGAAACGGGTTAACCATCGAGAAAACATGCTGATATGCTGATTCATCGTTTACAAGGTTCCATTGGCATAAAAATCCTGATTGAGATTGATGAACAGACAACTTCCCTGCCTCCATATTTGTGTCACACAGATTTAAATCAAAAAATTAGGATGTTTGTAAAAAATGTAAAATAATTCAACAGTCGCAAATGCAACCCACAAAACACATTCGTACACTGTACAACAGTCTCTTCAGGATTTTTCTTCCTCCCTTTAGTTCAGAAGGTGAAACAAGTCAGCACTGAGGATTTTTTCTAAGAGTTGTCGAAGAAACAATCTACTTTTCTGGATACAAACGACAAAAAACAAAAATCTGTCCATTGATTGAACTAGTGTGCGCATTACGACAGATCTGTATCGCACGTGGTCCTATGATCGCGGCAAATATTTGATCGTCCGCCACTTAGCCTGCCAGCTGGCCGACAAAACTACACTCCACTCGCTGTTCGCACCGGCTTAGGTGGCTAGCGTTGTTTACAGACGGACATACGTTTTATCGTCAATCGATTTTTCGGTACCAAGGACCCATTAAACATGAATTCTGACTACACAACGTGATAGAGGAAGTAATTTTCTATATATGGACCAAATTTATCCACTTTTTCGTACCGGGACCCAGCAATTGAAGTTTTTTTGTCGAAAATTTGTGGTTTTTCTCCCGCAGCATTACATACCCTCCTCTATACTTCGTAAGCAGTAGCGAGAAAGGAAAATAGTGTATGACACGTGGTAAAGTGATTTTAGGAGTGTGCCACTTGGCTTATTGGTCTCTGGTCGCCACCTTTCTTACTCGCAAAGTAAAATACCACTTCATCAATAACTGTTCTGTAAATTACGTCCTGCGTACTTTGATGAGAGTAGAAGCCAACCGTTGCTTCTTTTGCGTGCGCAGTGTACGAGTCGGGCTGGGCGATGAGGCGCTTTGGCGAGCGGCGCGGGCTGCTGCTGCACGCGCAGCGCACAGATCTGCCGCCGCCGTACTACACCGTCGTCCAGGCCTCCTACCTGCCCTCCTACGGTGAGTAAACGCATAAACGAGTAAATACTTGGTTGGGGAAAATCCCGCTGGCCGACGTAGGTCGGCGACGGATCTCGGCAGGCAGCGCGGTAAGAGCACCGCCACCTTCCGCGTTAAAAACATGCATTACACATACGGGACTTTGGACCTCAGATACCATCAATAAATCAATTATTTGTGGCGATGCTCAGATCGTTTATCCTGCTCTTCCACCAGACCACTGACAAAAGTTTAATACAATAATATATATTCAATGAAAATACGTATGCAATTGGGGTAATGGGTTTCTTACACATAAGACAGGAGTGAAAATGAGAGAGGATGGGAATACTGAAAAGGAATAACAGTTGTGTTGTTATGTATCGACTTAAAGTTAGAGACGTATTTAAAATAATAAGAAATATATCTTGTGATTACATTTGAAAACCGTACGAGATTTTCCCCAAATAGTGTGAAATTACCTTTGGGTATCTTAACAAGCGAGGAGTAGGATAGTGTCGGTCGTGGTTTCTTGGCAACGGTCAGTGTATAAGGCACCCGTTTCATATTTAGATTCGATGGGTTGGCATTACAAAGAACATTCTGTTTAAGTAGCAGAAGATGGTGCAGGAGACGAAGAGACACACGAAGTTTTGTATCCAAGAAAAGAAAACCTTTAAAAAACTGTAAAAAATAGCCTCTTTGCTCCAAAGTACGGGAGATGGAATTGTTATGTCGGGCCCCAGACCCCACCATACACATACCTTGGTTCATACGATTCACTTGGATGCAATACATGGTTCTTTAAAAAATGAAAAGGATCTAAAGCAGTAAAAATATTTAGTTTTTTCTAACTTGAGGTAGCGGGGTCAGTGAGGTAGGCCGACAGACAAATTCGCAATACTATCTAACAAGTAAATTGCTACATTTACTCCAAAGCAATACAATATTCAAGTCCTGTATTTCACGAGATTCGGGTGAGGAAAAGTGTCCACACGTCATGCAAGTCCTCGTTTGTTTGAATGTTAAGGCAACAAACGAAATATTATTAACCACGATAAATACTTACTAATAATATTTCCCATGATACAAAAGAAAATATAGTATACCTTTTGAGTTTCAATTCTACTAATAGCTTTACGTGCTTAATACTCGCGACAACGCAATTTCTTAGAATATTCGGAGTGAATTTCAATTCTGGGATAAAAAAAGTTTTTCTATTTTATTAAATCTGTGAAGCAAAAGCATCATATTTCGTAAATATATAACATTTAAAAGGGTTTTGGTACATAAATACATACTAATCAGAAAATACTCAGGAGCAATGAAGTGATGTCAAAATGCTCTGATCGCGTAAACCAGGTTACCATACAAAAAATGTCGTAAAATCGATGATTTTTTTAGATCGCCATTTCTGCTGGCTGCGAAAACCTTTAAAGTATCTGTAGCAACCTACGCTAATTTGGACAAAATTACATATCTGTGAAAATAGTTAATGATTAGGGAGCGCATTTTTATGACCTAAAATATTAAACAATAAAACGCTCTTAAAATGCTTTAAAAATGCCCTAAAGACAAATGACGTAATTTTTTATCAAAACCACTTCAAATGGCTGAACTCAAGCTGTTGGGTATGTTACTGATGTAATCGAGGCTTCTTCCTTTTGTCCAAGTGAACTCAGCTTGCAAACATTTTGTTTGGACTGTTCTTTAACAGGAAATCTTGCATTTATCGCGAAATCGGTCGAACTCACAATAGCACCGATTGGGGTCACAGGAACCTTAGATTACATAGTACTCATAAATGCTGACATTACAATATATGAGAGAAGCAATCGAATAGGTTACTCTGGAATTATGTGGTGAACATTTGATGCACCTCGTAAATATTGTTTGAAACAAGTACCATTAAAATGATATGAACATCGATGAAATACGGAAAAATGCATTAAAAATAAGGTAAAAAGATAAAAGCGACTTCAACGAGTAATCGACATCGACGATCAATGCAATAAAATAACCTATAAAAAAGGGGGCATTTCATTTTGTCATAACATAAAACGAATTTCTATACCAAGCGGCAGTGTTTTAAAGTGAAAGCAAAAAAAACATTTCATGATTTACGTTGTAAATTGTCTCCCGAGGCGGGAGAGTATCATTACTGTCCCGTCCTGCCCCAGTTCCCTTTGACAATTGTGTCTAAGATAGAGTTTGTGTTGCAGAGGAGTCCAGAGCGATGGGGAAAACGCAGCTGCAGCACGTCTGAGACTGAATTCAGCAGTCTGGGCCCGGATGTAGAGCAGCCCCTCGCGAGCTTGCCCGCCCCTTAGCACGACCACAAGAGGCGGTCGTTCCAGCGAGCAGCACACGAAACGATCTGGAGCTGCACATCGCAACTCTTGCGACACACACGCAGACTACGCTGGTCAGACGAACTTTGGGATGATATCCCGGGCGATAACTCTAAAAACATTTCGCTCAAAACGAAATGTGTGAATGAAGTATCGATAAAATCTAGTTTCAGTGCGATTGAATTTTTCGCACAATATTTTCTGCTACTGAAACTTGTTTTTGCTTTCCTGCTCCTGAAATCTAGTTGATCATTTTAGTAAAAAATTAAATTTAAATTATTAAATATAAATTAATTATGGATTTATATTGAATAACAGAATACGAAACACAGAAGAAAGGAAAGGATGACAAGAAAAATATTTTCAGTTGACTGGGATTTTTGTAATGAGTGTTGACTACACTATGTAACACGATTTGTGTGCTAATTTTTTATAAGTTCTTGTTAACGACGGAAAAAGACGTTTCAAGTAAAAATGATTGTTTTTGTTATCAGAACGAATACATGTATTAAATTATCACATTCTGTTGGTGTTATATATACTCCTTCCGAAATTGATCCCACTGTTTTCAAGTAGTAATTCAAATAAACTAAATGTACCCTAGTTCTCTAAGGCCGAAAGTACCGAGATGGTTCTAAGGGTTACATCGGAAAATATGGCACGTGACTGGCCAAAAAGGGCCTAAGAGCTGCCACCGAAACGCATATGGGTGGAGGCGGACATCCTGAGCAGAATAATTCTCTTCGGAGGGTATGGTCGCGCGGAGCACCTCAATAAAAGTTTCTTTCGGTGTCATACGATGGACCCATCACGTGAACGTAGATGTGGAAGTAATGGAATGCATGATGGGACGGAAGGGGGTCGTGAATGCCTTGGGAAGGTGAAGGGATATCAAATAAATACTAAAAAATATTCACGATTCCAGTCCTCGCTATTTTCAAAATATTCTATATTACCACGGCCGTGTTCATGAATCGTCATTTTAGGTGTCTTTATCCTTTAGGTTTTCAGTCATTTTACGTTTTTATAACACATTAAACAACATATCAAATCAAATTCTCAGAAGTTGTCCATAAACGTAGCTTGGTCACCAACTACCAACGGGATACGATCCTGCAGTCGTATCTTCTATTGTAGTAACCACTTCACTTCACTTCACCACGCGCTCGTTCACTGTCGATCCGTTCCAATCACTCGAATCGCTCTTGGCCATTGAACTGAAGGAGCCGTATCTCGCTAGCTCGCTCGCTCGCTCCACCGCTTCGGCGTTGCTGGACCGAGTCCCTTGCTCGCTTCCTCTTCCAACTGCCCTACGTGTGCCTTAGCGCGCGCGCTGTCCACGGCCAATTGAAACGTTCCCCGCACATAATTCTTAAGTAAAAGATTCATGAACTCGTTGAATTCGCTCCTCCTCTATGAATGAGGGGTATGATTAATAATTGCTGACCTGAACTGAAAATACCTTTATTAACTCAAGAACAATGAATTTTGTTTTTGTAATGTTTTAGACACGAAGACCTTATACTAGTAAGACCGGCCGGTAAATTGCTCTTTAAAACCTTCAAAACGTTTAGAGAGGGGCTCTTAAATCTCATGACCAGGAAGGAATGACTGATCAACTGATATCTCTGCATCGCTTCTGCAGGTCGTGTTCAACCGCTGCGTGGAGAGTTCTACGGCCGGCTGCTCTGATCGGTATTTTTCTGTGGTTTGTCCGAACAACACCAGGCGAATGTCCTAACAAACAAACCGTGCGCGATCTTTCCTTCCCCCTCTGTTCTATCCCCGGCTTCTTACTTACACACACTTTTATGACTACCCTGCCACACATGTCAGGAGACCAGTCGGTAGCTTACAGTGTGTCTTGGCTAGAACGGTGCCATGCTGGTGGAAGGTACCTCGTTGGGGAAAACCCCGTTAGCCTAGGTGTAGGTCGGTGCCAGTTCCCACCATCCGGCGGCGGAATATCACCTACAGGACTGCCGAATCCATCGACGCCACCGGAAACATGAAATAACCAATCAACCGACCGGGTCGGTGAGCATGTGACGTGATTGGCAGGAAGAGCTGAAGGCAAGAGAGACCCACTGCAAGAGACTCGCAGGCTCGCGGCGCATTGCCTCTTCATTCCGCGAATCCGCGTTGGAGGTCGCACGAGTCGTCTCTACTCTTTGCACACTGGACGGCCGATAAAATGCGAACGAATGCCCAAGAATGCAAACGCTGCGCATGCGTGAAAGAGCCGTTTACTGCACCTCCATCACTTGCACCGTTCTGGAAATATTGGGTACACTAATACGAGCTAGGGATTTCAGTCGCTAAGTTGACGACGAGAAATGTCTTGTGATTGGATTAGTAATTTGTTGGACTATTTTTTATGGCGTTATATTTTACATCACATAATAAATACTGAGAGTCCCACAGGTCATCCCCATTACTTCTCAGCGGTTCATGATATCGAATGGCAGATTTCGCTTAACAATGCGGAATTGTAAGGCAAGCAATATGCCGTAGATATATTGTTTGTAATATTTTTAATGTTTGAGAAATTTAATCACTTTTCTAATTTTTTTTTAACTAGAACTACAATTTTTCTCGTTAGAAATGGACAGATTGTAAAACGAGGAATACAATGATAATGATTTGATAGTAATTTGATTATAAAATTTTACTCTGACAAGTGATTTGAAATTAAAGGGAGTATATTTCTTTTAGTAGCCCCTGCAACTGTCTCCTTTGGGGAAGGAGACCTGCGCTGCGGAGAAGGGGAGATTGAAAAAGGGGTGGCAGACAGGGATAGAGGCATAACTACAGCATCCCATGGTTATGACACGAAGGACACAAATATCAATATTGACGCTCAGTATGAGAGATTTTTTTCATTGGTCATCAGCATTGACATTTGTTCCTATTGATTGAAATTCGAAAGCTATTTATTTATCGCAGAAACACTACAGTCGGTTCGTCGTTCCTTGCACACACGACTACAGATATTCATTGATGACAATGGGACACTACAAGTCAGGAGGCCAGTGGGGTGCTTGGGGCGGCTCCCGGCCGGTGGGAGGCACGACTGGATGGGGAAACCCTGCAAGGCGACGTAGATCGACGCCGATCCTCGTCGTCCAGCGGGGGAAGAACACCGCCATCCACCGTGATAAAAAAACAACAAAAGGCGATCGTAACACACGGCCAAGCAGTTGACGCGCCCGGAAGCAGGAAAATTATCAATCAATCGCCCGTGAATCTGGCGGTTGCTGCGACTTCCTCGCAACGGACTATGTGGCCGTCGGCCGTCTGTTGTGGGTTGAGAGGCGGTGTGGGCACCGTCTGCCGTCTACAGCGACTGTGTGAAACAAATGATCTTGGCTGTCCGGGTGACGCCGCGTCGAAGGCTGTGTTGCCGATGTTTCGACCATCTTATCGTGGCCTTCCTCAGGGCTGGTCTGCCGAGGAAGACCAAGATTAGATGTTCGAAACGTCGGCAACACTGTCTTCGAGGCGGCGGTACCCGGACAGCCAAGATCATTCACATGACTGCAGCCGCGGAAGCCTACGACAAGTGTGAGACGAATACACGAATGGCAGCGGGCGGCGGCGCAAGGTGCATGCGCTGACGTAGATTGCGCCCAAGGAGGCAGGGAATCGGCGTAATGCAAGAGCTCGCAAATCCATTAACCGAGTGTGTGACAAAAGATCTTAGAGATCTTACCGACCGTTATCGGAGCTCTAGGATTTTTTCGATCAAAAAGTATGAAAATAAATGCACAGGTCATTCAAAGCCCTCGAAAACGCACCACATCGCGTTATTGGAGACAGCCCATATTTTGCGATAAATATTGTAGAAGTACTCAAAGTCAAAAGATTTATTTCGTAATGGTTGCAACGTGGAGTATAGTTTATATTTAACCGACGCCTAAAATCTTTAGTCGTGATTTTAGGGGAACATTAATAATAATAATAATTATTATTATTATTATTATTATTATTATTATTATTATTATTATTATATAATGAAAAATTTCAATTTTAAAATTTCACGACCAATTTTTTTCGCTTCAGTTTTACTGAACTGACAAAGCTCCATCCCTTTGGCTTATTAAGGGATATTGTTCATCTCACATCATTTACAATTTAATGATCTATAAAACCTTCATAAAATATTATTTTATTCGAGTTTTGTGATTAAATCATTTCCATAGAACGTCTTTGAGTTCGTAATTTTATTTGCCTGTTCCCTGTCGAATTCTCGACTTCAATTCATCCTTAAGGAGTGGTACTCTGGGTTTCTGTGTTTGTTGTAGGAAGTCGCCTAAAAAATTGAACTTTTGCAATTTTCGAAAAATCATAGAATTATACGGAAATGAGTTCTGCTCCATTCCTTTATGCGCCTTTTACACTACCCGAGAACAAAGTTTAACCAATAAACTTGGAGCCATTTTTGAGGAAATTTAAAAAAATGTAATTGGGACTTTATGTAAAAATATCAAAATCCCCCAACAACCCTCAAAATAAAAATATCGGTTAAGTAATTAAAATTAAGTTAAAGTAATTACAAATAGGAACAAGATTTATCCACTTTTGCGTTACCAAGGCCCTGCAATAGCAGTTTTTCTGTCAAAAAATCGCCGTTTTACGGCACAGGGTTACAATGCTTTCTCTTCTTACGAAGTAAAGCGATAATTTAAAAATATGTCGTATGTAATTTTTAAAAAATCAAAAGCATGGATCTAAATCGTCAAATGATGCGCTTTGCTCTATTCGTACAAAACGTTGAAAGGAAGTACAGTCGTTATTGGGCATCACGTGATAATATCCGTAATCCCAAAACGACTGTTCAGAGGATGCAAACGCGTTTCAAAGTGGCCATATGAGTGCGGAGTGATGGCGACTCATTGGCCAATATCTGTGTTACCTTGATTGGTAACCACTATCCTCTGATGCTTCAAGATTACTCGACGCCTTCGGAATGGGAAAACAATAATTTCAATCCACGAGGTGCACTTCGCAGAAATTGTTCGCAAATGGTTGAACCAGAAATTTCTTGAACTTTGGCTGGGATGGCATGGACTTCACGATTGGACATGCTCTCACACGGTCTTTTTTTCTTGTGAGGCTTCACTAAGGAAGATTACGAGATTAAACCACGCACGTTCAATGAATTGGAAGCATGGATTAAAGAGGTACGTAATGGCCAACACCCCATTTAACTTCCTTCAAAAACAGTTTATATCGTATCTCTAGGAGGCTCGTTGACAACACCGAGATTTAATACATTAATTTGTTTCCTTATCTTATGTACAAGAATTTCTAATGAATAAAAATAAATTTTGCAGAAATTACAATACATTTTAATACCTAGTTACTTTACACCCACCTTGTAATTCCGTGCCTAAATCATATGATTTAGAGATGTAAAAGAGAAACGGATGGTGAAATAATCCAAATAATTCGCCAAACGCTCAATAAAAAAATAATACATACATACGACCCGGCGATCTCGACAAACATTGATCATCGATCACAATGAGTAGGTTTCTAATAATCTAACACTGCGGACGAATACAAAATACCAAAGGAAAACAAAATAGGACTACATGGAATCCAATATCGTACACAAATAGTGATGTAGAATGTCAAAATTCAGATTAACACAAAATAGTGACTAAACTAACCATATGTCCAAGTACTGTAAGCACGAGTGCTAAAACCGAGTCTAAGAAACTGGAGAAGATGCAAATTATAGAAACTAGAAGCATATTAGAAATTGGAAACAGTGCATTCTGGTTTGTAACAATCAAAAAATAACAAAGAACGTAATACCTACTGTTGAAATAGTAGAAACGTGTCACAGAAAATGGTAAAAACATATAAAGAGATTGAAGTCTTAATGCAGGTGTCCTATCGACTATGGGCAACCGCCATAACTTCTAAACGGTTCACAATATCGAAGGGCAGATTTTCGCTCAACAATACGGAATCATGGGGCAAGTAATACCCCTTAAAGACATTTTAATTAATATTTTTAATTTTTGAACAATTTAATCATTTCGAAATGGAACAATATTTTTGTTCATCAGTAATGGATAGATAATAAAAAGAGGAATTCAATGATGAATCACATGTTAGTATTCTGATAGTAATTTGAGTATAAAATAATACTTTCTGACATGTAATTTTAAATGATAAGGACAATATTTCTCGTAGAAGCCCTCGCAATTGTTTTTGCGTAAGGTGCCCTTCGCTTTGCAGCGCCATCTCTTACTGGGAGAGACGAGACTGAGAGGGGCGGCAGCACTACTAGACTTGCCTGGAAGGATACAGGAACAAACATCACTGTTAACGATCGCAATGAAAGATTTTTCCATTCAGAATTTATCAACCTGACTGATTGAAATTCCAAAGCACCATCAAAATTAATAATAAATTGGTAGTGTAAGGAAGATTCTAACAAAGGTCATTTTCAAACTTAACAAGAATCGGGCCGATGAACTGACTGCAGTCATTTGTGGCGGTATTCTGCGCATCAATGCTTTGGAATTTAAGCCAGAAGAGAAGTTTAATTCTGATGAATCAATGAAAAAAATATTTCATTCTCAACGTTAATTCTGATGTTTGTTCATGTGTCAGTCGTGACAAGACCATGGATTGCTGTAGTTACTCCTCTATCTCCCATTGCATACCGCTCAGTCTCCCCATCAGACTCAGCGCCACGAAGGCCAACTTCCCCACGGCGACAGTTGCAAGGGTTGCTCCTTTAAAACCGCATGTCAGAAAGCCTAATGTTATACTTAAAATACTAATATACGGAACATCATTATATTCCTCTTTTTACGATCTAGCCATTGCAGACGAGAAAAATATACAGTTCCATTTAAAAAATCAAAGATGATTATATTTCTCGAAAACTAAACATATTCCAAACAATATCTTTACGCCATATTACTTGCCCCATGATCCCGTATTGTTGAGCAAAAATGCGCTTCGATATCGTGAACTATTTAAAGGTTGTGGAAGTGGCCATAACTGGTGTGTAGTATATGTATTGGCCAATAAAAACGTCCACTTCGAATATTTTCTAAATGCTTCAAGAAATTGAGATACAATTTTAACCGAACGATTCAGGTCACATTTGTAATTAGTTTTTGGTAGTATTTTTATTTTTAAAATATTGATCTAACTTCACTTTTTTGTGCAGTTTCTCTGATCTCTTGGACAAGTGATGAGATGGCCGCTTGTTATAGACATACTAAAATCTAACTTCATTGTCTGTTCACGGCTTCTTGAGTTCAGTAAGAAATATAGTTATTTGGCGGAGGATTTATAAATCCATAGCTTGCACAAATATTATTTAAATGATCGTTCTCCATGATGTCGCATAAGTACTATATTCATTCACGAAGAACATGATGAGGGATAAGAACCCAAATCTATACTAGCTGATTTGTCTTTGAAAATAGATTTTGTAACATCACGATGCATCGCAACGAATTTTTTTTAACAATTTTCCCCAAAATGCTAATTTCTTTCTGCAATTCAACTTGTATATGGTTTAGTGTAGGGATCGCAGAATTAAGAAAACTTACTCAGAATACTCTTCTCCATGTAGCACGTCACATCTCCCCCATACATCCCATACATTTTTACTGTTTTTTGACTAAATAAATATAAATATAATCAGTTTATAACGTCAAATAAAATAAATAAAATTAAAATAAATTTATTGTAAACACCAGGCCCCCTTGTACCTGCCCCGACTCACTTGGATCGGGTAACCAGGTAAACAATTATCGACACAAAAGAATATAAAACCTGGCGAAATCGTGGAACAGCAAACGAATGTTTGTGGCGCAGCACCAGACAGCTCAGCTGGCTAAGCCGCAAGTCTCAGAACATCGCAATGACCACATCGGTCGAATTTCCCTTTCAACAAACGTCTTCGCCAATCCTTCATATGTTAAAATCATTCCAAGTGCTGAGTTCACATTTCGTCCAAAAGAATCAATTGAAGAGACAAAAAATCACCTCATTAGTAACATCGTTCATTAGGCAGATGTAAACATCTTCGATTTTTAAAAGGAGCAAATCTGTATGATGTTTGGTCTAGCAAAATACACTCCACAGTGAACATTACTTCGCTGGATTTTTTAAATCAGTCTGCGTCAATTCGTACGACGAGCCCTTTCTCTCTGCTTTGAACGGCTCAGATTTCCAAAAGGCAGACAAAATTTCAGAAATGTTTCTCTGTGAAAATCGTGCTGTTCCTCAGCAAGGGCATATTCAACCGAGTTGCAAATTCTTCACCAATAGAGATAATTATACTAATTTTTTAAATATAACCAATTTTCTTCTTTATATCCTCGTGAAATTGCCTTTAGTAATGCAACAATTAAGAAAACGAAATAAATTTCACTGAAATTACTTAATGATAACCACACAAGTAATTCGCAAAGTTTCTAAAAGTTACGTCAACTATCCGCAGGAACAATATGCCATGGGCACTTCGTAATAATCTCTGCTTTGGATTCTACATCAGGCATGTCACTGTACGCCCGCACGAGCTAATTGCACGCTTGGGAAGCCTGGCGCTCCTATGGGGTACAGATAACTACTTCCGAATCCGCACGCATTTCCCATTAAAATCCAGAAAGGAGTGTACATGCGCAAGCTGAAATGGCGTGAGGCGGCGATTAGTGGCTTCATACGAAAATATGTTTGCCAGATTTTTACTATAGTGTTTGATATATCAGATAACCGAGAATTGTATTATATTTATATACAAACAGTTGGTAAATATGGATACAGAGACAATTAGTTATGCCAACGTTTCGAAATATTTAATTTCTTCATCAGGGCTAGAGTACAAAGACAAATCAACAATGCATGATCACAATAAATTAAAAAATTAATTCATTAATTAATTAACTCTACACAAACGTTTATAAACAAAAACAACAAAGTATAGAAAGTACACACCTTACTTCAATCAATTAAATTGCTTACTAGATGTTAACATATGGGAGGTATGTATTTCAGAATTCATTATCCAAGTGGTGTATAATTAAGAATGAGAGCATTGACAGCATTGCCAACTAATTCACAAAAAACCAAGCTATAATGCTAACCCATTCCCTTTTGCCCACCCCACCAAGTATTGCAGGTAAGATGCATTTATTCAAAGTATTAAATACTGGTTACTTCCAACTTTTTATCAAGTTTTAGTGAACATAAAAAGAATAAATGTTTAAAGTTAAAAGGAGATTCTAATTCCTATATGGTTGTGAAATAACGAGGACAATAGACACCATCATGGCAGACAGTCAATTTCCTAGTACAGTGTTGTATCCAGCCAACACTTAGAGCTCACTGTTCAATATTAACTGAAACTTAATATAATTATACATATTATTCTTAAACACATAAAGTACTTAACCAAATCATTATTATGTCAGTATTTAACGTTTAGGACAGGAAATGTTGGAATGAGAAAGGAAATAAAACAATGCAGTTGCTCAACAAGATAGTGTTATTCTAATGAGTTAACAAATAAGTACAAAATAAACTGACACAAATATATTTATATATGTATTTACACATACGTACACTTGCACCCACACATACATACATGCATTCTTGCACACAGATCTACAAGCAAGGGCATCAGTGCTTGCTACTCATGTTAAAACTACTATCCAAACAATACAAACAAGTCTCAAAACACCTGCCAAAAGGTGCACTCTTTGGTCATTTCAGAATACTACAATATGCCAACAACATTTCATTTCCTATGATCTGTACAATGATAGAATGTGAATAATACAATTTCATGATTGATCTGAACCCTAAATAACACAAGATTCAGCCAAGACACAGCTTGGTAACACAATAGGAGATTGCAATACAAGGAATCAGGCCACTTGATTCTTATAAGCATTGCCACACTACAATCACTTTAAATTAATCTTAACATGACTTCAACTTAACTGGAAAGCAGCAAAATTTCTGATTAGCATCTTAGATCATTTTGATAGCTATGCCACTTAAAAGCTTCAAAAGATTCAAAAACCTTTCATTTTTTGACATTTTGCAGTACTTTTGATAAGCACTTGATATTCAAAAAGATATGTAGTCAACATGTAAGTCATACTCATTCTATCTGCCACAGGAACAAACTAAAATGTTCCATATATTAATCTTTAATACTTCACTTTACCCCATTAAGGAGCTGTAATTTATTTTCAGAGAAACATTAGACAAGTCTCTCCATAACACAGAAACTAAACTGCCATGTAATATATGGCAAGTACAGTATCTACAGTAACAAGAAAGAAGAAAACATGATTTCAGTCTTTCCTATGCAACGCACAGCACTGCTCCAATTTTCTTGGAGGAGCACACAAACAATTCCCACTTCCTTCAATGGCACCCATCTTGCAAAACAAGAATAAGGAAAACTAACAAAAAATGTTTCTGATCTCAATTTGTAGCGCCAGGCAATAATATTCATACCACTTACAAGAACTTGTCTTGAGCATTTACAATGAAAGAGGATAAATTGTTTAAGAGTACAACATACAAGATAAAAGAGATTGACACATGATCTGCAGAATGTGGGAACAAGATGCTCATAGATGTGTAGAAATATTACAACCAGTTTGAAAAATGAACATTCTTCACAATTTTGGTAGGTAATAGATAAAAATAAAGTATGGAAAGATTAAAAGGTGCCCACCTTTCCACAACAATGTAATGAACATTTTTTGAAAGACATGTAAGAATATACACAGGGTAATGAGGGCTTGCATTGTAAGATTTCAAAGAATTTATAAATAAACAGTGCTGAGAACAGTAGACACGAGAAATACATACAACCATTATATTCAAACACTCAACATTTAACAAAGTAATTGCTAGTTTTCTAGAACAAGCATTCTAAAACAATACTTCACAGAAGGGAAGTAGGAATTTTTTAAATTCAAAACCTGTACAAAGATGGGTCTACATGATACAAATCAAAGTCTTGGAATCCTAGACCGGCACATCTCCACCAAGCATCTGCAACCACCAAGTGGTAAGGGATTAGACCTGTGCATTGCTCTGTTCTCTAGTGGGCTAGTTTGATGCAGTAATTGTAGTCAAGAGAGACTTGGATCATTGTAAGAGGTTACAAATGTGAAGTATTGGAATATGATATAATAATCAGACTTAAAAAAATCACTCGCAAAACAAAGATTACACAATCATAGCCATGACTAGTGTTAGTCATTGTATTTTCTGGGAAGCAAGGGAAGCATTCCTTCACCCAATGTATAAGGGTAATACAAATAAAGATTAAGTATTTAAACAACAGAAATCAAAGAGAATGTATGAATTTATGAACTCAAATCTGTAGGAAACGTCACTTAAAAACCATTACAAAATAATAATGGAAATGGAGTCAGGTTACCTTTTGAGGTAACCTTTCACTAATATCAAAATGTCCCAGAAGATTCATGATAAAAAAGATGGCATTTGTATAAGAATCTCCTAGGAATAATAGTATTTCCTCAAAACTTAATTCACAATGGCTGTCGTTACAGAAAGTGAAAAAGTAAAAATCTCTAAACAGTGAATGACTCAACAAGAACTTGTGGCAGCTCAGTTACGCTCCGGGGGGCAGCGGGTCTGGACAATGCGAGGACGCACCTGACCAGGACCAGGAGTCCCCACCTCTTCGCACACCTGCACCACGATGCCAGGCTGGTTGTCAGAAGGTGGATGCAACTCATGGGTTTCTCCTGTATAAGGGACAGAAAAAGAGAAATGTATCATTTTTTTTCTTAAAAGTCCTTAAATTTGAAGCTTTTGAAACGCAAATTTTAATTATTTCCAAGAGATTTACAGCATGCAATTCTGCATTCATGATACTTCTCTCATGTTTGTACTTCACTTTCAATCTTCTCATACTAACATGATGAAGATCAAACTACCATAACACTAGAATGATGGACGCTATCAGTTTCACTGTTTGACAGTTTCAGTTTCTCTTGATGTCTTTCATTTGGGGGGGAGTATCTTTAAAATACTGAAATAGTTTCTGAAAATTCTTAATTCTTCTTAGTTTACCTTCAACTAATGACAGTCAAAATGACTGCTAGATGCATTTGGGATGCTACTAAATTTCCTATTAAAGGTGGTTCCCATAGATCTATTAAAAACAACCAATACTTTGTAAGTGAACTTTGCTAATTATGAACAATTGATAAATACAAAATAAATCAACCTTCAGCTCATGAAAATATTTTTATTGTTTACTGATCTGTTATTGCTTGTTATTAACTTCAATACAGAGCTCTACATACACTGCATAACTTACCTGGATCAAGAGGACTGAGCTTATATGAAAAATATGAAAACAGTTTAATGATGCCAAATGTACTCTTATGAAGGGAATTATAGGAGGTAAATAAGAAAACAAAAACCAAGTCAAATTAACATCCAGTTAATTAGTAAATAAGTAATTCTGAATCATTAAAATTAGGTTAAAAAAATACAATCTTGGGCATTAACAGGTTCTAATGATCATGGGCAACAAAAAGCCCTCAGGCCGCTTGTCAGAACCCTTGAAATGCCCTTGGTGCATAAATAACTACTAATTTACTAATTTTTTTGCAATTCTATTTATAGCTTTGTTGCATTATTGTTGACTTTTTGGTGAACTTAGAGAAGACATATTTCAACCATAGATGTGTATACATAACAACTTCAACAGACCCTATGCCATAAAATTTTATCTTGTCTTTTAAAACTATGTACATATGCCATGGACTAATTATGACCATTCATGTAAAAACTAATGATAATTCTGATCTATTTTAAAAACATGTCAATTACTTGTCTGAGGTGCAGAAAAATAATTCGTAGTAAAAGTGCTGTTGACTACATTTTAGCATACTACTAAGAATTACTAGTCAAAAATTAGTTTCTCAAAATAAATGACTAAATAAATAAGAAGAATTCTTTGAAAATGGAAGAGTTCTGCCATCTTTCTAGTGTTAATTGATAAAAAATACTCACAGTACTACTATATTGTCCTAGATTTAACTTCATTCGCAAAATATCTGAGCACAGAAGCATTATTGTGCAATAAACTGGATCGAGGTGAACTTTCTTTTAATGGAAATAAGAAAGCGAAATTACAGTAATAAGTCACTTGAATGAATTCATGAAACCCCCCAGACAGGCAAATCTTGTCATACTGAAAGTGTTAAAAAGGAATTAAAGGATAGTAATAGCTTCCAAAGATAGAAAAGGAAGTGCAATTGGAGGCAGCATGACCTTACAGGAAAAAACTCACCTGGGGTTAAGTTGGCAATGGCTGCAAGCAAGTCATAATTTACAAGAGGCTCTCCCTCATCTCTTGGCTCCCATCCAATGGGGGGAGACGCAGGCGGAGAAATCAGGAACTGCTTTACAGGAGCTGGAGGCTGCAGATGGCGATCGTCCCCATCAATGGGAGATACAGGCTGAAAAGCAAGGTTATATTAAATTGGGGTTTGCTACATTTTTCCCAGCTCAAAATGCGGAATTTGCATGGTCAAGCGGAGAACATTCCTCAAGGGCTGACCCTTGCCCCTTGAAAATAAGATACCATTGATTGATTAATTGATTGATCCGTGATTTTAAAAAATAAAATAAAGGCATGAAAAACACAATTAAATGTTTTAGTAATTTTTTAAAACATTTCAAATAAAATTTAAAAAATTTATAATTTTATGTATCAAAAATGCAAAAAAAATATTGAATTACAACAAACACATGCAAACAATTACAAAAACAACACAAGTACAGAATAAACTTAAAATTATATGCAATTTGTATTTGATTTTTTTTTAATCCTGGTGTAATTTCCAATAGTCACCAAACCAACTTGCTAAATTAATTATTATGAGCCTTAAAAACATCAGACATTAATGCAATTTACAAATAAAATACAACAGTACTCAGATTTGATTATACAAAATATTTACCCTATTCAATGTTTGACATTTGAAATATAGTACTTTAGTACTATAACCCACAATGCTTATTAGAGGTCTTTGTTAATGCTTACAATATGTACAATTTAGGAAAATTATATTTTGCTTAGTACTTTGCTTACTACTTCATGACTTCATGAAAACCTCAGAAAAAAAACAACATGAAGCTTCATAATCAACATTGCCATAAATTGAAGAGTTGAGAATTATAAGGATACTATCTACAGTTGCCAACCGTTCTCTATTGGCGTTCAGTTGTCCTCTTGTCCTGCTTTGTATTACAAATGTCACCCATTGAGTAAATTTTTAACATTTGTCATTCATTTTATCACATAACAAAACATCTGCTATGTTGTCTCATTTAAAGTTTAATTTAGAATAGAAAACATGAAAATATTTTTTTTGAATGCTGTAAACGCATGCATAATAGATACTCTGCCTAGCGACTAAAATAAAAAAGAATAAAAGAAACTCTCAGTCTATATTCATCCACATTTTTACTTGTTTTGTGATGGAGAAAAGAAAGAAAGAAAGAGAGTTATTTTAATTAAATATTTATAAAAGTAACGGGTTGATACATGTTTTTCCCCCCCTTTTTATTCCTTCCCCTTATAGTGTCCTCTCACCTACATGAACATTGTTAGCAATTCTAATACTATCTGTTGTTTTGAGAAAATTGAGATAAACATGTTTTCTTATTGTATTTTGTTCATAGAACATGGCTGACATTTTTTAAAAATCTATCTCACATCGAAAGTAGCCAAATGTGACAATGATCTTGACTCCCGCCCCCCGTGCCAAAACATAAGAGTACTACTGTTTACGTGATCCCTTAGCTAGCGCTCTCTGTAGGATTTTGGGTGTACTATCTTTGCTACAGCCAATAGGAAGCACGGGTTATTTTTGTTAATAAACCGGTAATTGTCACTATTAAAATCAATTATATTTGATGCGTTGGTCACACATTTTCTGACAGTTAAAAAAAATATCTGAAATAACTCCGAATCACGTAATTTTAAACAAAGTTTCATTAGGTATTTCATTACGTAGTAAAAGGATTGAGGACTTGTATTTTTCCATCTTCAGGCTACAACGAATATATGATAGACGCAACAAATCAAATTTTGAGAAAATCGGCTGGCTGAACAATTTTGTGCCCCTCCTTTCGAATGCGCATGCGCTAGGAGGGGTGACTCCCACCATCAACCGCTACTTCCCAAGAAAATATCGCTCTCTCACTCGCACTGCACGCCAACTGCAGAGGTCGGGGGAATGGAAGGGGGTCTGAAGGTACAGGCTGTAGTGATTGTATAGGAAGCATCGTCACTTTCATCTTTAAGTGTTGTGTATAGTGGTGTCTTAGCGTAGGCCTAATTTCAAGGAAGTTCACAGTGTTATTGTGCTTCTAAGAGAGCAGGTAATGTGGCCTCAACATCAAGCTCCCTTCTTCCCATTGCGATCTCAATCCCATCGAATTACTTTGGGGTTAAATTAAGAAGCGTGTTGCTAAACAAAGCATCGGTATCCATCTGCGTTTCAAAGAAAATGTATGCCAAACATTATTTCTGAATATTGCCCATATCAACGAAAGAAATGTACACTCGTGAAGAAAATGGAAGTGAATTATATGAAAACAAGACATTATGGACGAAGTGGAAAAAAATATTGTTTCTTTACGGAACAATTCCTCTGAGGACAATTACGAAAGGGGCAGCGAAGGTTGCAGTGACGACGAACACACTGGGGATGACTAAAGGCGCATTCACAATGCAAACAAGCATGGCGTTAACATAAAAGTTAGGACTACATCCATAAGCGAACTCACAATGCGTTCGCATAAGAATAACACATAAGACGTTAACTTAAAAAGCTTGCAAGCTTCTGTGCTTATGCTTAAGTAAGACAAAAGAAATGAACCAATCACAGAACGGTAACTCAAAATCTAGAATCGAAATTGGGAGCGAAGTCAATACATGAACTAACGCCATATGGGCCATGGACATAGGTGATACCTTGAAATCGATTCTCACATCCAAACAATAGTAAACCAGAATGTCTCACAGCCAATAGAAACTCTTATTTTGGTTGCGTTTATGTTAGGCATTGTGAATACTGCAGTCTATTATATCCGCAAGTTTTCTTGAGCCCTGGAGAATCTACCCCCATTTGATCACGTAATCTTTCCCAACATTAGTTGCATTGATGCATACATTACACGCATAAATGATAGCACTGTGTTGTAGACAAACTCTGGCGACGAGGAATGTTCGCTCCCGTGTATTAAGAGTATTTTGCATGGAAAAATGTACTACAAATTCGACGTAAAATTCCTTTTGTCAAATTAACCAAACTCCCCACTCCTCTCGCATTAGTAAAGTGAGGTCTCAAGAAAACGTGCGCGGATAATATCACTTATGTTAATGTTTATGTCTATGCTCTATGCTTATGTGTACGTTTACATTGGATATGGGCCTTAAATAGCAGAGGGAGGGTGACGAATCGCGTGCACGCAGTAGGCCAGGAAATCTGACGCTAAAGCGGCTGGGTGGGGAAGCTCGCGAAACTAAGCTTCTCACAAAAGGGAGATTTCAAACTTGTGGTATACTTGGGTTTTTATAACCTGGCACTTGACATAAACCAGTTGTTAAATAGACATTTTACTTATAAACCTACCAGATTTTGCCTTCAGTAAATATCTTACACAATTTTAAAGTATTAAGGGGGTTAGGGGTCCAAATGGGTGACTGGGAACTGGAGGGGTGTACTGAAACGCATAGGCATACACCGTTAAATGCCAGGAAAAACCCACCTGTAATGAGGAGCCTTTGCAGCAAGGCTGAGTCAGAGTCAATTGTCCCTTCCAAAATCGCCTCATGGCCCTGGATGTGCTGCATGATGAGAAGCCACAGAGTAACCAAGAGAGTGGGACAAAAGGTGAGTTTCCAAAGCCTTGAAACAGGAACTCTGAAGTAAGGGAAGGAAAACTGACCGAAAACCATGGGGGGAAGGGGGCCTCTGTAGGTGTGGTGAAACCAACCTCGCTAAGGGATGATAATCCTGTCAAATAATATCTTCATCCAGGATTGGGCATGGGGGTTGGACGCAGGGTTAACATCCTGACTTCTTAAAAAAAAGTTGCAGTTCAAAGTGATTTAAATATGCCTCAGATCAGACCACATCAAATTTACAGAAACAATGAACATTGGTACATGGAATATACAAAGCCTGGCAACAAAATTTTTCAATTTTGTTAAAGATTTTTGAGTTATTCAATTGTACTATAAATTGTACTCTGAATTTTAGAAGTTCCATTCTAAGGTAACCAGGTTCTGAAGCTTATTGTTTTTAGCCCTCGCCAAAGCCTTCTTTACATTAAACCAACTCATTTCAGGTTCCCACTATTACCAATGTGTGCATTCCAAATCATTTTCAACTCTATGTTCTTGCAATAATTCTCCGTAGAAACCAAGCCATTTTGTAGAAGTTATTATTTGTACTTTACTTCTGTTACAATTTTCCTCATTTTTAATAATTTTCCAATTTTCAGTTGATCTATTATATCCTATTGTACTATCTATATGCATACATAATGTCTCCCTGGGTTCATTTTTTCAAATTTTACATATTCTTTAACTTCTTTTCTAGATTTTTTGTGTGTGTGTGTGTGTGTGTTTGCGCATTCCTATTTGAAATCTATGACAAATACAATTACAATGTCCTGAATACGACAAATACAATGTAATAGTAAAATACAGCAACGTTATGATCTTTTTCTCTGCAATTTGTATTAAACACTAATGACCTCAGCAGTCAATGTGACTCAAAATAAATCAAATTCATACAAAGTTACCTAGAGGGAGGAATTTAGAGGTTAGAGGAAGCCATGGCCTAGCATTAACAATGGATAGACATTTTGCCATCAATCAATTTTTCATTACTAAGAAACCACAAAACATGCGTTAATGCTACCATGCGTTAATAGTAGTTTACTACATAGGAACAGAATTTATTAATTTTTTTCATTACTGGGCTAGACAATAACAGTGTTTTTGGGAGGGCTTGAAATTTTACTGTTTTCTGGCATATGATTAAAATACTCTCTCTACTTACGTTCGTAAGGGTGGGGAAAGTAGAAAGGTATTTATGTCACGGTATTCAGTGTATTTAGCATTATCCATTGTAAAAGTTAAAGAAAAAATTAGAGCTGGTTTTGAGAAAATTATGTTTTTAAAATTGCCTTTATTTCATGCAAAATAACACAAAAACTATTAATTCCCCCTCCCATCACTTCCATGTTAGTTTTGGAGCAGATTTCATACTGAAGAAAATTCTCTATCTTCGGTATTGTTGGAAGGAAACTGACAAAAATTGAAACTTCTGCTATTTTAGAGAATTCAACAAAAATTGGGCCTGCCTCATTTTTTATATAGTTTCCTCCATCCAACAAAAACATTTCTCAAAAGTGCTCAAAATGTTTGGGTTAAAATTTTGAAAATAACCTCGAGGCTTCGTGTAAAGAACCCCAAAAATTAAAACACCTGCTTTGAAATGAAGGGGACACGTCATCAGCCACATCGATCTCAAATTTTAATTTTGGTGAAAATTCTGCTTACAGTTTAGTTGCTAGCATTGTTCAAAAACATTGACAGAGAAAAAAAATTGATGTTAACCAATATTTCAGTACCAAAGACCCTCAAAACTTTGATTGTGACACATTTCCTGAAACAAATTTCTCCAACTATTCCTGGTTATCTAGTTATTTTCTGTGTTTCTTCTTGTTTTTTTTCTCCCCCAGATAAAATTTGAAATTTCATATTAAAAAATACTAAGAGCAGCTCTTCAATTTCACAAAGGTAAATTACAAATTAACAATATTTTTTCAAAAACTAAAATAAAATAAAAATGATGCTGCGCTACTGACTTTAAGAAATAATTTCTAGTTTTATAGCAGTCTCACATTTTTCCCTGACTTCTAATAATTAGTATGTTAGTATTTTGCCACCCTACTAAGGGGAAAGATGTTTACACATCATGGACACATTAAGGAAAAAATATCTAGCATACAGGAATCTAGTGAAACCAATGCTGACTCAAGTGTGGTGATCTTCATGAGGGCAATGCATCAATTGTTGCTATGCAGAAATCCGTAACTCGAGAAATATGAATAAATCTTTACCTTTAACAAAATCAAGAGACTTTAAGAAACTTTTAATGCCACTTTTAAAGTTGACTTTCTGATTTAAGATAAGTTACTTTTAAAGTTTTCTCTCAACAAATCACCTCCAAAATTTTCGAACCAAAAGTATTCATTTTCTACTGAGATATTATATAATAAAACAAACGAGAAGAGGAGAGAGAGAGAGAGATATTATGTAATTAAACTACATAATCTCTTGTTGACATCCTTGAATAAATGATTCTGAAGTAATCAAATAAAACCACCAAACAATAACCCAAAAGACATAGATGTCTCATTACTGCAAATGCAAAAAAAGGGAAAATTTATTTCAAGTGTAGTATATAAGGGCCATTCATAAATTACATAACACTAAAGAGTACGGGAGCGGGCTTGTGGCAGTAATAATAATAATAATAATAATAATAATTTATTTAGTCATACACAAACTTTAAAATATTAACAAATTAAATTCAAAAATGTAAATAAATACATTAAAAGTTATGATGTATAAACTGTTAGTGCAGTTACAACAAATAGAAATATTTTTCCATCAATGGTATATTGACAATCTGTTAGATTATCAACAAAATATTCAAAACTGATCTTTAGTTTATAGTCTAGCATCCAATTAGCACAGTAGACTCGAAGCCCAGATGTTATCAACAATGATATATGTAAATGGCTTCTTGTCAGAAATATTCCCACCTACGTGTGCTTCCTTCTTTCAAAAATTGTCCCCAACCTTATTATTAGATTCAGTGTGCATCACCAATGAACTACAATTTTAATATGTAACAAAAGTAGACTTTTTGTTATTGAAATAGTCTCCTATATTATATATTATTTCAGTACCTTCATTATTTCATACCTTTTGCGACTCCAACATGCAACCAACATTGATAAATGAAATCTCTAAAGAAAGAGAATTTCACAGAGATGTGATGAATTGCATTTTGACTTTAAAAATATGAAGGATTAGTTTAAAAAATGCACCTAAATATTCATGTCAAAAGCAACCCGCAGCACTCAGTCAGCTAAGTTGTTGAATAACTCAACAACTTAGTGTTCTAGGGCCTTAAAATCTAAAATTTTGAGGCCAAAGGCATCAAAGAAACTTTCTTACACTGCAATCTACAGGGAGGAAATATTCTTAGACATTCCATTAAATTTTTACTACTACAAATGCCATCTAGATTTCAACCCTTGGTGATGGTGGCCAACTTTGTGACGTCATGCTTAGAATTCTCTAATACTCTTTATGCTTTGTGTGTACACAGTGGTTTGCACAGACCGTCAAGATTTATTTGTATAATTATTCGTTCAAGATTCGCTCTTGCAGCGACAATTAGAGGTACTATTAATTGTTGCTTGATTCCAATAAAGATTGTTTCTTACGTATGTAGTGAAAACAATCATTTAACGTTTTGCCTCGGACTACAAGTGCTGTGGAGAGAGATGGGTGCATAGAGAAGAGTGAAGACAGGTCTTCTTAGGTTTGCTTAGTGTTTTACCTGTACTAGTATTTTTGTATCAGCAGTGATTCGGTGAATTTTAAGTCAGCAAGTCCAGTCCCGTAGCTTCTCGTGAGAAAAAAAGGTTTTTAAATATTTTTCCAACTATCGCAAAAACCGAAAAGCTAACTGACAATATCTAATAATTACTTGAAATATTTTAAAGAAAGTGTTGTGAATTGATCCTAGAAATTTCTTGATAATACTGTACAACTCTTTATTAAAAATGTTTAAACATCAATTGCATTGTTTTTTTGTTTGATATTCTGCAAGTATGAAGTTACATTTATACATTTCTTAACAAATAAACATGTTTCATTAACAACTTTCCTTCTTAATGGAAAAGATAGAGAAATGGATAAGGAAGGGATGGGGATAACCATGTTAGATTTCATGCATGGGTATGCTAGTATAATTTAATTTTACTTCTGGTAAAGGGGGAGAAGTCTTGTCACAAGCATTATGAAATTGCTAAGGTGGGTTCAAGCATGCATTACAGGAGGGAGAGGGGGTACTGAATATACTCCAAATTTGTGTTACGTAATTGATGGACAGTCCCATAGCTATACTGTAATTTATGCATTTCAGTCCCTCGCCAGTATCAGCTGTTGATGGTTTCATCCAATCGGGAGCTTGAACGTCACCCTAGTGACGAGGTGCAAAAATTGCAGTAGAGTACCTTTGTGAACGAATCATAATTATTGAAAAATAAAAGGAGAAAATTCTCTTCATCATTTTTGAATTAAAACACTGTCCTCTTTTTGATTCAACTGAACCCAAAAAGTTCATTAATTTATGTTAATTACATAAAACATTTAAACACGAGCACCAGTTGTTTAGCCAGCTATAAGGCAGACCCACAGTCAGAATTTTTTGAGAGAAGCAGCTCAACATACACATACATTGCACAGAATATTCGAGACCACACTGTAGAGGACTTTCAAATTATTGTGTAACATTGGAAACACATTGACAATTTCAACAAACACAAATAAATAATAATAATAATAATAATAATAATAATAATAATAATAATAATAATAATAATAATAATAATACACTGACCTGGGCAAAGTAGCAGTTAATGATGGTGTCACCAAACCGTGTCTGATGCAACTGCACTCGAGCACGTGCTGCAGCTGCGGGACATTTGTAGTTGACCCTCAGCCGTCGAAAGCTCCGCAAAAATTGAAAGCTGGCTGGTTCCCCAAAACGAGCAAACAGCATTTCCAGCTCTTTCTGTGCTCCCCGCCAAAAAAAAAAAAAATAAATAAACTAAATTATTTGTGACTCGGATATAGACCTTAAAGAATAATCTAAACAGATTCATATTTACATTGAAACATGAACTAATAAGCATGTTCAAAAACAGCAAAAAACAAACTATATTTCACTTTAAAATACAAATGCCCTTTTTTCTTCACATGAACATTGTTTATGAAACAATTAAAGACACTTAAAGAGACATTAAAAGAAACATATGTATAAAAAAGTCCATACATGCTATTAAATTCTTATTAAAATAATTTCATCATTATACTGCAAATTTACTGAAGAAATACAACTCTACATTAAAGCATGAAATGAATACAAGAATTCAAAATTCACAGAAATTACTGATAAGCAACTCCCTTAACACTGTTACTAAATTGACAACCATCATACAATTGTGCTTTTAATATTCCCCATGAAATAACAGAACTTATTGTCTAGTTTAATATCTCTCTTTTGCACAAGGAAAAATTACTGATTCTTAGAGCTGAAGTTTTGACATCAATAATTTAGTGACATCAAATGTTTAAAATAATTCATTTTAATGGTTAACATGAATTACATAAAAGAACTGAAAAACTTAATTTTTTGTTACAAAACACTTCATTAACTATGTAAAGCACTTACTAAGACAAGAAAAAATTTACAACTCAAAAAAGTGTGAAACGAAAAATGTTTGATTATAAATTTAAGATTTATCATGGATATGGTAAAGAGAAACTCACCTTTTTAGCTTCGTTCTTAAAAATTGCACTGTCAAGGTTGGTGACAATTAGGGATGTAGGTAAATCTTCATCATTAATAAGATCATCAAGAGATCGTGCTCCATCAGCAGCTTGCCTTGGAGTATGTTGGGGCAGATCTAATTCGATGTAGTTCGGATGAATATTTGGTAGACCATCTACTTCGTTTATAATTATATTATCACTTTCAAAATTTGACATTGCCTCATCACCATCAACCACCATATGCCCTTCGTGTTCTTCCATGATCACAACCAAAAAGATTGACTAGCAAATTAAAGGTTCCTAAAATCAGTACAACAGAACTGAAATCAATATCCATAGGTACAACTTTAACAAGTTGAATTGAAAAATTGACATACTAAAAACACTTTTAGTATCACTGAAAACATTACTGTAGATGTTTTAATTATTAAATTTAAATATTCTTGGGCACACGGTGACCTAAGGTTAGGTCGGATTAATTTTTATATTTGTGGGGGGGGCTACAGCTGTTTTGTAAGGATCAATTAACGTACCAATTACTTCCTTTCAAAGGAAAATCTTTGTAAATCCACACACATTTGTGTAACATAGCCACATGACGAAAAGCCGCACCGACTTTTAATGTCGTAATATAACACTTCAACTTCCAGTCTCTTCACTTTTTCCTAAATCACGCAATTTTGCAAACAAACAAGGCAGAGTGAATAATCATCCACTCCTGCCTAACAATTTCACTGTATGTCCGTAATGTCAACACCCACCGCACGGTAATTAAACTAATTATCACAAAACGCACCAGTAGACGCAAGAGAAAATGGAAAAACAGGATAACAGGATGAGCCGAACCCTCCCTTCGAAATGTCCGTCTACAAACCCAATGCTACCAATTTCAAACGTGAACCGCCAACATAAAAGTTGATTGTAGAATTCGAATTCTTTGCTGCACTAATTTAATATGAAGTGCAAAATACCCTTCTCCAATCGTTTTCGTGAGTCACCTGTAAAATCCCTCGTACAATTTAAAGTATTGTTTTGGTTTCTTTCCCAGATTATCTGAATCCTGTTTCAAGAAAGCACGTGAATTATATGATCAATGACACTTCTACATTTTCAGAATATCGTAAAAATATAATTAAAATAATGCATAAATATATGCTTTAAAACGGATGTAAGAAAAAAAAATGACATTCTTCGCTGTGAACAAATGCGATATCTATGATTAACTTATCAGTCGAACTGAATTTCGATCACGGTATTTCTTTAATAATTCGAGTATCTGTTATATGATTACATTTGAAAAGTTTAAAAGATTATCATTTTCATACATCAATGAAGGGAGCATTCAAAACATTGTTAAAGAAATATTTATACTTGCGTCATGGCATGATACTACTCAGTGCCTATGCTTTGCCCTTGTCACCTCACCAGCACTTCACTGATCAGACAACAGCATATGCTAATTGTCGCAAACGCTGTGGGTGCGGCGGGGTTTCTGTCAAATATTTACTCAATTTTGATACTGTTGACCTTTTAACATATAGTATAAATTCTACATGCAATTATTTATCTAGGAATGCAGACACTTGTTTTCTCATAAGGAATACTCTTTAAATTGTAGACATTTTAAAAATAGTTTAGAACAATTATGGTTAATACTGTGCATATAAAAAAATGTAGTTACATAAAAATGCCCAACAATCAAGTACAATTGCACTTTTCCCCTTAGTAAGTCACAGATTTTTACATTAAATAAAGTACTCATTTTTAATTCATAGAGGATTAATCATTTCTACAAAAAGCATATTTTCCTTTGCAACTAGCTAAATATGTCCTAAAAACTACTTAGTATAAAAAGAAATAAAAAACACAAATTGAACATTACAACTGAAATGAAAAGTTTATTAAGTCAACAAAAAGTCTTACTTTTTTCTGTTTTTATGGCTTCACTAGACACTTTGTGTCTGCTGATACAAGATTGCCAAACACAGGGTTCAATTAAAACACATAAAACTAAATAAAAAGTAATGTATTTATTGACAAAATACAAATACAATGCATTTTTAGCATTCACAGCATTCAATGTTAAGTGACATCTTACAATACAGTTACACATTTTCATTGACTATTTCATTAGTATAGCCATACCATTTAGAGGCATGTAAAGATAAAAGAAAATTTCAAATTCATGTATTTAATATGCAAATCTTTACTGCAAAAGTATAACAAAGAGTGAAACTGTAGAAAACCACGGTTGTCTGTACTCTTCCTTGTCCTTTACACTGAGAGACAAATAAACCGAGTACACAAAACAACTCACTTGTGTTATTGTTTATGACTCATTGTTCAACTTGGCACCTCAAGAATTTACACTCTATATTGGCACTACTTTCTTAAGAACGTCAGTAAGGTCTTCCTCCTCGCCTCATCATTGGAAGCATTCGATTGGGAGGAATGATAGAAATGTCCATGTAGTCTCCAATGGAGAATCTAAAACAAGCACAATCACATGGATTATCAGCTTCAATATACTGAAATTAAATATTACAGCATGACTCAATACAATCTAAACATAAAATAATTACATTTCCATTCATAATTATAGTATTATTAAATATCATTAAAACCTCTAATGCATCCCAAGTATCAATCACAATTTAATATACAATATTTCCAGGCAGACAGTCCTATTGTTACTTGAAAAGCACTTATTGCAATTACCAAGGATAAGTGATATACATACTAATGAGACTAATTCAGCCAATTTTATTACATGGTAAAGGAGATTGGCTTTTGATACTAGTACCTAGAAATGCCCCAGGATCTTTGGGAGAAAAATATAAACAACACATTCATACATTTTTATTTTTTTCAAGGAAAAAAGTAGAAACAGTAAATAACAAATTTTGGATCATATGCAGTATATAGTATTGCCCTAGGACTAATGCTCAAGAGATGTCAGTTACCATACAGATGTCATGGTTTTCTCGACTGGAGAACTGATTCCCAAAGCATTAGAAATATTGCAGAAGAAAGTTTAGATTGGGAACAGCCTCAAAATGTGAAATGTTCTCCATAACTAACTAACTTTATCAGTATATTTTGGGTGCTCTTGAGAAAAAATTGAAGGAGTTAAAATTGTTACAGTTTATTCTTTACCAGAATACCTATGGATACTTTTAAGCTAACCAAAACTTAAAAACGTTGGACATTCTCAGTTTTGCTTGCTTTTTCATTCTAAATTGGTGCAGTGTCCAGTGCCTTTTTTAATGCACTCCACATTAAACTCCACTCCATTTCATTTGTGCATTTCAAAACCCCATATTATCCCCAGTGCTCCTGACTTTTCCTAACAATTATAATTTCAAAACAAAATAAAAACAATTATTGAGAATAATGAGTGAGAAAAAAAGAAAAAAAAACACACACATACAGCTAGAGGTGCATCAATACATGTATAATTGGCTTCTTTAGGTAGAGGATTCAGAAGTCCCATGCACACTAAGCAGATATATTGCGGGAACTATCATTAATTAAGAACATCATATAACAATAGTAATAAATACTTATAAGTATATGAAAGACAATTATAAAATTATATTTATAACTTGACACACACACCAATACAGAAAATGGTTTTGGAAATACAGAACAAAACTCTACCACTGCCCTGACCAGCATTGCCTAAAAGCAATGCCCTACAGAGCAGGTTTCAGCAACACAAATTTCAGAAAGTATTCAAGTTTTAGGGATGCAACCCCCTCCCTTTTTTTCTTTGTGTCAACAGTTTTAAAACTGTTGAAGAGAGCATTGAAAACGTGAGGACAATCAATCCAGTGGTTCAAAAGTTGATGTGGAACAAACATAAATCCATTCATTTTTATATACTAAGAAGATAAGAAATAAAAATTTCTTGTTTTAAATATAAAACACACTGTGATTAAAAAGGAACTTCTGAATTGTTAGATAAATAGGGACACTCAAATTACCTTGCCTGAGCAAGTGTCTTGCTATCATCAGCTCCCTTTTGACCAGAGCAGGTTGTACCTATTTCTCGCATTCTGTATCCAGGACTGCGGGCCTCCGGAAACACAAGTGAGAAATCAAAATATGTTCCTTTGCGTCGGGCTTCAGGATTAACCTCTTTCACAAGGCTTGTTATTTCTCTAAGAGTGGCATCCATCCTGAAAGACAAATTCACTGTAAATTATACAATCCACTTTCCATTAAAACAAAACAAAAATAAAAACAGAACTTTAATAAAATATTTCTCAAATTGTAACATCAACTTTTAAATTAATTGGTTAGAGATTCTGAGCATATCAACAGCTAGTAGTCCTCTCCCATCCTTTGGGGAGTGGGATTTCTGTGATCTTCCCTGCTGGGTGGTGGAATCTCATGCCAACCAACCTGTGGAATTCCCGGGAGGTCCCCAACCAGGTATCAGGGTACCGCCAACCCGCTAGCAGGGTACTGCCACAGCCAGGACTAGCTCTAAGTTTCTGATCGGTCTCTCAGCATGAGTGGTAATGTAGTTCGTGTAAGTATGTGTGTAAGTCATGTGAGTGTGAGAGGATAGAACAAGAAAGGGGAAGGAAAGATAGTAAGTGGTCTGTGGTCCATTTGACAAGGTACTACTCTGACATACACCTGAGCCTGTACTAATTAGAGATACCACGAAAAACTACTGATCAGAGCAGCCAACCACTAGAATTCTCATCCAGACAGGGACTGAATTAGATCTAGCAATCTAGCTAGTGTTCAAAATCTTGCCAGCAGTAGGGCTCCAACCAAAGACCACCAGGTCAGAAGCACTGCAGTGACCTCGCCTGATGCCCTGAGCCACCTCTCCCGACCAACTTTTCAAATTTGTTGATACTACATAAGTATTAACTTTCTATCAGGCACAACGTATTAACATATTTTTGTGCTATGAGCCAAGGTGTTTGTAACCATTAAATTTGTTGTTTGTTTTTTTCTCAAATCACCCTTGGGAACATATTTGAAAGTTTTGAAGAAATTAAAATGTAAAATTTATAAAATGTAATAGCCGATTACGAAACACTTTACAACATAATATATAAAATGTTTTCTTTTATCAGGTTCTTTAAAATAAAATTATTCATAAAAATTGATTAAAATACCAAATAAATAATTTGCAGAGCAAATGAGACAGGAGAATTCAAAAATAAACACATTTTCATTGAAGTGTTTCATATTATATTTCATTTACTCTGAAATGTAATTCCTTCATTTTAATGTAACTCAAAACCAAATTAGCATGCAACGTACGTTGCATTCCTGAATTATATTTGGATTTTTCTGACAAGTTTTAATGATGCACAAGGAACATTGCCTTTTCAAAGATCCTGAAGGCAGCTTATCTTCATCTTCTGCATTCAAGCAAGAAACAAACTTTTTTGTCTCTACCAGAGACTCAGAAGCCTATGCTCTTCGATCACAATTGTCACACTTCTCCATTACATATCATCAATCACCAACTTACGTGAAAGTTGATTCAGGAATTATTTGCTTATAAAATGAAGCACACAATTTATTTAATACATAATATTTTAAAATGCACATTCTACACAATCCTGCATAATTAATAATAATATGCCCGACATCACTTTTTGCATAACATACTTGTTGATAGTATTACAGCAAAATTACTGATTCACATTAAAACAGCATTAAAAAAAAACTAAAAAACTCGACTGACATCAACGAAGTGATATGCCATGCATATTGGGAAATAGACAATAAAAGGTGACTACTTAGCTGCGCTGATTCGATCAGCTGCACCCAACCAGAGGTTTATTAATTATTATTATTATTATTATTATTATTATTATTATTATTATTATTATTATTATTATTATATTATTATTATTATTATTATTATTATTATCATTATCATTATTACCATCTTAAGCAACAACTTTAAACATATTCATCACACGAAAAACTAAATTGTGATACCATGAATGGAACTCCCTACGACACCAAGTCAGATACTGTTCAACAATTCAAGTCAAAAATAATTTCTAGCATCAAATTTTCATCCTTTGCCATCTTAAAATATACATACACATAGTATAGTAGTACTGCAGCACAAGATATAAAATGTCAGTTCAAATAATTAATAAACATTAGACTACATTGTCCACTAAATGTCACAAAACTGTGATGCAAAAACAAGTTGAATATTCTGGTAATCTCTAATTCTTTTTTGATACTACAAATAATAAAATTTTCAGTAAATTGAACATTTAACAATTAGTATAATATGTTATGCAAGAAATGCAACTAATCAAATAATTAGAATTACCATGTATATATTTGCAACTCATTTGCAGGTACATTGCCTCTGCAGTAATCCATCACATTGTGGTGACGACCATTGTTGCAGAACACACGCAGAAGGAGAGGACAAGTCTGAAAATAAAGCAGCAATTCTTAAAGTATATTCACCAACTTGGTCCTCAAGAGAACAGAAAACTGGACAATTAAACAACATATAATTTTCAAAAATAAAATTTCCTTTAGACATTCTTGGTGAAATAAATTAAAAAAAAATTAATGTTGAATTTTAATGTTTGTGGGTTAATTTTCATAATTTAAATCTAAGATCTTTTTATCCATTTCATTGAAAATAAATATTTAATGAATTTCAAACTAGCAGAACAAACTTGTACCGAAAATATCTAAGAATAGAAGTTCTAGTAAATGAGAGAAAATTGACAAGTAGAATTTTAATGATCATAGAGCCACTGGGCTTTTAAAAACTACATGGGTTACGAAAACGTCATGAAATTAATTGTTTCAAGCCTTGGATGATACTAGTATTAATCGGAATTTTAATCAAATGCAGCAAACAATTAATTAAATACTTTCAATTAAAACAATCTGTCTATTAAACACTGTTATGCTTTCCCATGCAAGCAATGAAAGATTTTACCCGAGATTTTCACTATAATTTGTTTCCAAAAATGTAATACCTTTTCTCTGTCCACTGGCTTCTCTGGTTCAGGTTTCTCTTCAATAATAGATTCAATTGCTCCAGAAGCCATGACTGCGATACAAGAAAAAATAAACCTAATAATCACAAGCTTGGCGACTCAGGATCATCCACGTTCTATCCTACACAATATTTCCTCTTATAACCGTATAACCCTAAACTACAGAAATCAGAATTCCGCAGAATTCTCCAAATCAACAACTCGCTGTGAAAACTCTCTGATTCAAAGAATATTCACAATTCCTGACTCAACACAGTTGGTACTTTACAAAGAGCACTAAGCTCTTTGATATTTTAATACTACTCACGATCGGTGTTACCACTGATTTTCTCTGCTACAAATTCTGTACGGTAGATGGCAGAACCATCAATGTAAGATCGCATCATCGCTCCTAGAAGAGCACTTTAAAAACTTAGCCAAAAATTTCTATTCAAAATTAAATAGTCAAATAATGACATAATAATAAATTTATCTTTGTACGAGCCGGACCCCACGGCCACGTACAAGCGCCCGAGAGATATGCTACAATAGGCGAGACGCCAATACTTGCATGAAAATTGCGGTAAACAACGCCAAAAGCGCGCCGAACGGCTATTGTCTTTCCTGACCATGTTCTTTTCTCTATTTTCAGATCAGCCATAGATGTCCGAAAGGATAGGGGTGGCTACACAGCAGGGAAGTATGACGGCATTGCACTTCTACACTACGGCATTGCGGCCACAAGGAACTGCGCTGTAAAGCGTTGGGTCATCAATGTAAGACGATAGTGTCCAGGGAGTGACTTCTTGTAAACAGCGCACAACCCACTATTGAATTTCGGCGCTTGCGCAGGAGTTTCGGGAGGAATGCAGACTGCAGAGGCTCAAAAACTATGTTAAAGTGCAATGCAAAACGTTTCAATGGTCGTGAAACCGAAGTTATTTTGCTTGTTTATTTTCTGAATTTAATTGATGCCATTCAAAGATAAATAAACATTGAAAACGAAAAGAGAATCTGTATAGTCAAAACAGTCAAAAGAGCCCACAAGGATGCGTCACAAGTGTCTCCCTATTTCTTATAGCCATTAACCATATGATTTCAACCTTACCCAAACCAATCAAAATACGAGCTTTTACAGATGATATCACACTTGTATATGTTTAAAGAACAATGTCAATGATTGAAGTTCTCCGAGACAGCTTAAACAAACTTCTGTAATACATCTGGATTCAAATTTTCTTCAACGAAATTCATGTACATGCTATTGAAAATAAAAATCAAGAACAATCCCTGATCCCAAACTCTTCCTAGAAAACAAAGAACTAAAACAATGTAAAGAAATAAAATTCCTGTGTCTTATTTTTGATACTAAATTATCATGGAAACCACACATAAGAAACCCAGTCATTCAGTGAACGAATCAACACACAGAAAGTTTTATGCTCCAAAAATTGGGGAGCCAATCAAGACATTCTAACGAACACATACAGATCATTTATTCGAGCAAAAATTGATTACGGATGTACAATATACAGTTCTGCCAAAAAATCCATCTTAACTTTATTAGGTTATAAACAAAATTAGCAATTGGAGCCTTCCGCAATAGCCCAAGACTGAGTATTCTAGCAGAAGATCACGAATTACCATTAAAGTTAAGAAGAGAATTTCTAACCCTTAAATATGCTTCATCAACCATCTGTCTTAAAAATAATCCTTTGCAGCATGAGCAAATATCAAAATCAAATGATCTTCAACAGCATTTCAATAACCTACCATAAACTACACTACGTAGAATAAGTATTATCAAGAACAATTTGTCACATAAGGAAAATCCCAATGCCTCATCAAATCTACCCAGTTCCACCATGCGAGGAACTCAAATTTATGACGACCACATTCTGAACGAAATGTATGGCAAAGACAACGCTCCTAATATTATGTACAAAAGCTTATTCAGAGAATTATCACATAATTACATAAACTATCTTCACATATATACAGATGGATCAGTGGTAGATGGGAAAAAAGGTTGTGCCATCATCTTTGAAGACAAAGAACGACTCTTCATATTGCCAGATTCGGTTTCAATATTTTCATAAGAGACCTTCGGTATAGATAAAGCCATAGACCTAATAACCAATTCGGAACTAAGTAGAGCCTAAATGTTTACCGAATCTATATCAACTTTAGATACATTAAAGAACTATGGGAACAAAAATTCAAGAATACAAATAATACAAAGAAAACTACAACATTTGATGAAACGTAATCAAAAGTCTTGGCATTGGTCCCGGCTCACCAAGGTATATTAGGAAATGAAAAAGCAGACTCAGCAGCAAAAAAAGCCGTTTCCCAAGGAATCGATTGTACAAAAGAACCAATTACTGTAGGAAAACAAAGGGCTATAAACCAATGCATCTGGCAAAAATGGAACATAATTTGAGAAAACGCAAGGTCAAAACTATACTTGGTCCATAACAATGTGCAAGAGCATCAACCATACAGCAAGAACAGGAAGATTCAATGTATATTGACCAGACTAAGAATAGGTCACTCCAACATCACACACTCTCATCTCTTGTCAAAAACACCAGTGTACAAATGCCCTGAACGTGGAACTGAAATCTCTATTTTTCACATATTAACAGAGTGTAATGGTTACCCACGTGAAAGAAGTGGATTGTCTGAGAACATCAAGAACTGTTTGGACGACACTGAAAGAGTGCACGATGTTATGAACTTTTTAAAACGAATTGGTGTGATAAACTTAATATAGGAAATAGTTGTAAATCATTTTTTGAATTTTGTAACAGTAAAATGTAACTTAAGTCGCTAAACTTCTATTTCTGAGAAATCTACAATAAGAAAAAAGAAGAAAGAAACATTTGTGACGAAATGCACATTCTATTAGTTGTTCACTTCGCAAACATCTTCAATCCACATGTAATATCTTTTAGATCAGGAAAGCTTCTACAGATATAATGCCAAACAAATTAAACTTATTGAAATTGAAAGACTGAAAGGGCAGTTTTAGAAAATAAAACAATTGTGTTGCATGCTATTAATCAAACCAAAATTCTGAAATGCTTTTGACCTCCCGCCACGTGGATCGCATCACGCCGGTTTCTCCTTTCATCCGCGACGGCCAACTCCTGCAGAATCGGCCACCCACCCAGCACCCGTGCGCGCCAAAAGGGGCAAGCGCAAGGGTGCGTTCAGAGCCGAAGACTCTTGTTCTCTGAGAGGCGGGCGCCCACCCAGGATTTTCGGAGGGGGGGGGGGCACAGGTACAATAGTGTCCAGTCCACTTCATTTCTTATAGATAATTTTTCATTTAGGCCTAATATAAAGTGGCTTTTATGTTTATGTTTATGGTTATATTTTACTGTTGAAACTGATACATCGAATGACGCAATGGCGGACTGAGCGTAGACAAGGTGTCGAGATACCCAATATACTGATTGACATGCGGCCTTTAGGAGTTTTTAAAGTGCAAGTGCACACAGTTACAAAAGGATGCTGAAAACGAAACCAAGTCTTTTAACGTTATTGCTAATAGTTTGAAAACAAATTATACCAAAGTGATAACACGGAAAGTTATTTGAGTATAATTGTAGGACATTATTTTCTCTTAAATACAACTAGTTAAAATAATCAAACAAAATGCATTTATACTTCGAAGCAAGCGGTAAACATCTGATTCAATAACTATTTTTTAGAATTGGAATGTAAACAGCACAATAACAAGAAAAATAAAATCTCTATGTGAAAAAATGATAATTAATAGTTCAACCAGAAGATTTAGTAGTTCAAGTTTTGACAACTCATATAAACAATAAAAACACATTGAGAAACCAGCTCAAACTACGCAGCTTTTCAAACGAAGTAATAAAATGAAATCTAATTTATGGACCGATTTCTCTTTTATAAGTTAAAAAAAAGTTACCAAGAATTTACATACGAGTGGAAAAGTTGCTCACGAAATACAAAGCGTTTTCAGACTGCCAACATGGGTTTAGGAAAACAAAATCGAACCAACAGAAATTGTAGAAAAGAGTAAACATCGAATTAATATTGGGATTTACAATTGTAAATTGTAATGAAAATTAAATTAATTATTTTTCATAACCTTTTGATCCGTTCCTGTTCGCCAAGGATTTTTCTCGTGGCTCATAATTGGTACACCTGCCTATATTTTACTGATTCCAAGCAAAAATTTCGCGAAAACACTAGTTTAAAAAAATTGAAATGACCTTTTTTATGAGCTAATTTTTAGAGTAGATATTGTTTCAAGGCAAAAAGTCTTTATCTCCAATTTTGTTGTTTTCAAATGTTAAGTTTTTGCAATTTCCGAAAATACGGATGTGTCAACGAAAATTAGACCTGCGCCATTCTTTAATTGTTTATAATTCTATCTGGGGGGGGGGATTGAAAAAAATGGGAGCTAATTCTGAGAATTTGGTTTTATAAATTGCATAAATTTCAAGCACATATTACGCAAAAACTACTTTTTCCAGAAAATTAAGCATGACCTTTTTTTAAAGAGCTGATTTAAAACAGTTTTTGTAAAAGACGAAATTCTTTCCCTTCAACATTATAGTTTTGATATATTAATTTTATGCAATTTTCGAAAATTCAAGAGTGTGCCCATATTTTTACCGTCTTATGATACATACAAAGTTTGTATAACAAATTTGGTGCAATTTTTTAGATAACAATTGTTTTAAAAATTTCTTATATTTCACGCAAAATTATTCGAAAACTACTCAAATTTTCGAAAACTTGTGTGACCTAGTTTCCAAATCTATCTTTAAAGAACAAAGTTAATTATAGAAAAAATATATTTTCAATATTTTTGTTGTAGAAAGACGTCGAAAAATTGAATTTTGCAATTGTCTAAAAGTCAGAGATTTCAGCAAAAATTAGACCTGCATCATTCTGGTAAGCGTTCTCCTTTACGCTGACAACAAAATTAAATTAAAAAGAAATTTGGACCCATTTTTGTGAAAATTTTGAAAATGGCTTAGGGGCTTCATGTAAAGGATCCTTCAAAATTAAAATATCAGTTTTAAATTTAAGGGCCGTGACTTCAGCCAGTTAGATTGGGGAACATCAGTTTTCGAAAATATCAGCTTATATTTGCTTATTGCTTTGCAGCAATATTTGTTCGTCCAATTTAGAATACGGAGCGGCATGCTGGGACCCATACAGAAAAGGGCAAAACGAAGCGTTAGATAAATTTCAAAAACGGGCCTCAAAGTTTGTATATCACGGGTGCGTTGGTGACGAACGAGAAGAATGGGAGTCC